ACGACAGACCGGCGCATGACCCGCTCTGCGTCATCGCTGAGCGCATCGCAACCTTGGATGCGCATACAACCATCGATTACGTCGCGTACAAGCCGGTGCTTCTTGTGTCCGGTCGCGACTTTGTGACGCGCTTCCACTCGCGCGAGCTCAACGACGGGTCGAGTGTCGTCGTCGCCACCTCGACGACCCACCCGCTATGTCCGCTCCGCGAGCCCGACACGATTCGCGGCCACGTGCACTTGGCGGGTTGGCGCATCATACCACGCAGTGAGTCGCTTTCCGAGGTGTGGTTTTTCGTCAAGACCGATCTCCGCGGTTCAATTCCCGCACGCATCTCGCAGCGTGTGCTCCTCGACCAAGGCTTTGGTATGTTGGATGTTGCCAAAGCACTCGCGGCCAAAACAAGCTGGCGGCGGCGCCAGCTTCGCGTCCGACGCTGCCATCCGCTCTGTCTCTGGACAGCCCACCGGCGCGGCCTCCACCAACACTGCAAGACATGACGTTGTTGGGCCTGGCCCAGTTTACGGCTCTGTTTTTAAGCCTCTTGTACGGCGCGCCGGCACTCTTCACAACGTACCTGGTCGATACTCTCCACGACATTTTCGTTTGGGGTCTGATTGCGTGGATGTGCGTGCGACTCTACCTGGGCCCGGCCACGGACAATGTCCACCACGCTGGCTACGGGCACATCTATGCCGGCGTCGACATTGACGTCACTGCGGCACTGGCGTTTCTGCTAGAGCCGTCACAGAAAGGCGTCAACCTTCGCGATGTGGTCGTAGCCGCAGTCGCCCGCGTCCTATGTACCATGCCGCATCTCAACAGCCATATTGTGCTCGGGAAGCAGTACCCGTCGCCTACAATCGACGTCACGCTGGTAGCTCGCGGCCAGCACGACGAAATGCTCGAGCCTCTGCCCCTCCACGATCTCGCCACCGCCACTGCCCGCAGTGTCGCAGAGAACGTGCGCGCTGGCTTTGCCAAGCAGCAGAGTGACGGGACGATCGCTTGTCGCCAGGCGTGGGCGCGGTGGCTGCCATCACCAGTGCGACAGCTTGCACTGCGCCTTGTGGCATGGCTTAGTCAAGGACTGAATCTCGACTGTACACGTGTGGGCGTCCCGCGCCGGGTACTTGGCCAAGCCCTCGTCGTTGAGCTCGATGACGCGTACATTCCGATTGCGCCTTGGATGCACGTGTCGCTGTTGGTCGTCCTCGGACCGCCGACGAAAAAGCCGGTCGTTATCGACGACCAAGTAGTCGTTCGACCAATGGTTTGTCTGCATATGACGTTAGACGGACGCTACATCGAAGCAAGCGACGTCAGCCGCGTCACAGCTCTTCTCCGTGCGTACGTGAGCGATCCCGCAACGCATTTGACCACGGAAGCGTCGACGACACAAAGCTCCCAGCTGACGAAGACAGCAGAAGCGCTTCGGAACGCCACCCTCTGATTCTTGGAAATACACTTGCATGCATGCTGACAGCGTGCCAGGCTGTTGTTGTTGTTGCTACTATAGCAATGGAATATGAATTGGGCGAACGGATTAATTGATGATGTAGCCTTGGTCTACTTAGCGCAGCTCTTAGCGCCATGTCCAATGGGTGGTATCAAGTACCGGTATCCAGCTGACCCTACCCCTGTGAAACGCCTCGGCTCGTCGATGGGTTCACAGCTTGGGTTCACATTCGATTTGATAGCCACGACAAGGAACATGGACATGGAATAGCTGTAAGAACGCATTGCTACAATGATGCCATTGCGTTACGATGTGTGTGAGAGGCAGATGCAGACCGTTCTTATGCGGTGCAATATCAGCATCCTCCTCGTAGAACATGTGTGCTATTGGAGCAAGAGCTGACATGACCACAGAAACAAAATGGCACTGTACGGCTCCGACACTACGAGGCAGTCACACCGACCGTCGCGCAAGACTGGGAAGCAACGGGACGATGCAACTGCCGCTGTACATTCTAGCGTAATCCGACGCCACCAAAACGTTCGGAACACTGCGTTGAAGGGACGCTCTGCGCGGGCAGCGACGTCCACGTAACCAAGGCGCAGTGTACCTGGGTGCTGAACGTAGCGTCATCCAAACGGTCGGTTTTTATGTCATCCGTGCAACTGCGAACCACTTGATGCTCGAGGCAGAGCGTCGAGGCAGCAGCGTGTAGCCACCGATTCTCCAAGGACGTGCGAGTGCAGTGCTCTCGATTGGTTCATGCCATCCATTGCATCAACACGGTCGAAATTCTCTTACACAAGTCTTGGTCGAGTCAGCTTGCGAGCGGTCCGAACGCGCTGGGATTCTTCCCGTCCGCAACCTTGCGCCATCCATTGTTCGTGTCTACCCTCGCTTTGGGTGCACCTGGGAGAGCGGGCTTGTGTTCCACCGGCGCGTCCATGCGTGTCCGTGGCCGGCCGCAGCTGCGCTCTGCTAACGAACATCAAGCAACGACGCTATGATCTTAGTGCGACCAGGCGTCGGGGGGCGTAAGAGCCGCACAAGTGTCGTGTCAACGCTGACCAGTTAGAATCAGGTCGTCCGTGCGTGAGTCACGGGCTCAATTGCCGTTCGGAACCTGCCAGGTGCATACAAATTGCGAGACTACCGCCGGACTAATATCACGCAACTTGCCGCACGGCCGCGTCCCTTGCCGTTGCGAGCCCCATGGCCGACCAGAGGCAGCGGATACGTATACCCTACTCCAAGTTCTTGAGCTTCGACATGCGCACACGGCGATTCTACATACGCACGACAGGCGATCGCGTACGTACCACCGAACGACGTTCAATAATCGCTTGCTACGAAAGCCCGTTCGTGCAATACACTGTACGAGTACTCTACCGCACTCCGCACTCCGCAGGACACGGCAGACTTTTAAAGCCTACCGGAGCGCTCGCGATATA